ACAACGCTCTAAAAAGTTCTTACTGTAACAATTTCCAGCTGCGTTGTCGGAAACGCCGTCGCCGCGCTCTCCTTCTGGTCCTACAACTTCTTCTTCATTATTCTCGATGTAACAGACCCAAAATGGATTCAAAAGTACAAAATCCAGGATGAAAAGAAGCCCCCATTATCGAAATACAAAGATATTTTCAAAGTGATCATACCGAATCAATTAATTGTCACCCCAATTGTCACTACAATCTGGTTTTATATCGCCAAATGGTGGGGGATGGATTTTGGTCCGGAGATTCCTTCGACTTGGATTTTGTTGAGAAATTTTGTTATTTGTATGTCAATGGATGAGATTTTCTTCTATTATACGCACAGGTAAGTGTGCAATGGGGCGCACTTACTATTTCACAATTTTTATCAAATTTTAAGACTCTTCCACCACCCACGAATCTACAAGTACATTCACAAGAAGCATCATGAGTGGACCGCTCCAGTTTGTAAGTTCTTTTTTTTTTGGAAAAATTTTTTTTTGTAACCTGTAAGTAAAAATTATGTTCCAGCCATCTCTAGCATCTACGCTCACCCATTGGAGCACGCAATTTCAAATTTGAGCCCAATTGCCATTGGAGCAGTTTTGTTCCGGCTCCACGTGGTTTCTTACTATATATTCACCTCGTATGCAATTCTAGCCACCACATTCCATCACTCTGGGTACCATTTCCCGTTCATGTTCTCAGCGGAGCATCACGATTTTCATCATAAAGTGTGAGTAGTTTTTGGATAGCAAGGGATTACTGTACCTGGGTTACTGTAGTAAAACTCATAAGACCATACTTGTCCGGATTCGGGCCGGGCCTAAATAGGATTTTTCATGGGCCGGGCCGGGCTGGGCCTCCGAGCCTTGCCGGGCGGGCCTGATTTGAACAAGTATACATACAGTACCGTGCAATAATATACGAACACCCCCTGTTTTCAGTTGATTTTAGCTGACTTTGAGCATGGGTCACACGGTCAAAAATTTTTCTACGGTTCTAAAATTTTTTGGGCGTATCAAGCATAGCTAGAACTTCACTTTTGTAGTTGACAACTTTTTTGTACCGCCACTTTCACGGCAGATATAGCTCATCCAAAACAGCTACCTCAGAAACTGCACGTTTTTTATAGAAATTTCGATGATTTCAAGGGTCCTTCATGGAACGAGCTCTAACTCTCGAGAGAGTGGTCGCACACAAAAGTTGTCAATTACAAAAATGAAGTTTGAGCTATGCTAGATACGCCCAAAAATTTTTAGAGCCGCAGAAAAAATTTCGACTGGGTGGCGCATGCTCAAAGTCAGCCTAAATCGGCAAAAATCAACTGAAAAACGGAAGTGTTCGTATATTTTTCCACGGTACTGTAAGTCTGAAATTCCAGATTCAACGAGTGCTACGGATTCGGACCTCTTGATTGGCTCCATGGTACCGATAAGACATTTAGAAAGTCAATTGAGCATCCACGTGACTACATTTACTACGGAACCACACCGATTAAGGAGTTGATTCCTGATGTGAACAATAATAATAAGGAGGTGAAGATGGAGAATATTGTGCAGAAGAATAAAATTATTTGAATTTTTTTTTTCATGAATTTGTAAATAAATCATACTAATTTAAGAAAAAACGAAAAACTGCTTACGAACTAAAGATCAACTGAATACCAAGAATGAGGATGTTCAGAGCAGCATATCTCGCTTGTCTTTAGAGCTATCAAAAAGTTTTCAACTGGTGAAATGTATGAAATTTATTGGTTAATATTTCTCTAGTTGATTGCAACTTGATAGCTCTAAAGATAACAGAGATATGCTGTTCAGGGCATGTATCACTACAGTAAGAACGGTACATACTGCATTGTAAGTTCAGAGCAGCATAACTTGGTTGTCTTTAGAGCTATCAAAAAGTTTTCAACTGGTGAAATGTATGAAATTTATTGGTTAATATTTCTCTAGTTGATTGCAACTTGATAGCTCTAAAGATAACAGAGATATGCTGTTCAGGGCATGTATCACTACAGTAAGAACGGTACATACTGCATTGTAAGTTCAGAGCAGCATAACTTGGTTGTCTTTAGAGCTATCAAAAAGTTTTCAACTGGTGAAATGTATGAAATTTATTGGTTAATATTTCTCTAGTTGATTGCAACTTGATAGCTCTAAAGATAACAGAGATATGCTGTTCAGGGCATGTATCACTACAGTAAGAACGGTACATACTGCATTGTAAGTTCAGAGCAGCATAACTTGGTTGTCTTTAGAGCTTTCAAAAAGAGTTCAACTGTGAAAATGTATAAAATTTCTTGATAAATATTTCTCTAGTTGACCATTTTTTGATAACTCTAAAGATAACTGAGATATGCTGCTCTAAACATGCAATACTGGAAAAGTTCAGTTCCATTGGGATCAAAGTGACAAACTTCAACCCTGATAACCCTTTCTTACTATTTATAGCCACTTTTTATAGAAAAGTGCACTTTATTTTGCTATAAACACATCTATCAATTGCCCATAGTGTAGTCTATTGTATTCAGATAGCAAGACTCATCAATAATTTATCATGAAGTTAATAATCTTGGCACAAGTTTAATTGGTAAACGACATGAGTTCAAATTTTGAACTTCAAAATAAAAGAAAAGTATCACAAATAAATAATTTTTCAGCGGTATCTATTTTTTTTAGTATCCGGGAGCACTCCTTTTTCAAAAAAAAAGTCAAGTCTATGCTATACATATCAAATCTCTTTAGTCTGCAAAATGAGCCCTTCTCCAGACTTGCTTTGAGATTTCAATCGGTAATATCGATCGGTATTCGGGTTGTAGTAGCAATCGAATTCCTTATCATACACCAAGCCGCTGATCTGTGAATCTTCCATTTCACCGGATTTCGTGGAGGAACGCATTTTTTCGTGCCGCATTCCGGTTAGGCGGTCTTCTCTGGAAAAGGAACAGGCTTGGAGCAATTAGGAAGCTTTTATTCGGAAATACTAACTAAAACCTTGAAAATCTTGATTCTAGCTTTGCCAGCTACTGTAAATTCGGTAAAATAGGTCCACAAAATGTTCAGAGCAGCATATCTCAGTTGTCTTTAGAGCTATCAAAAAGAGTTCAACTAACAAAATGTTAGAAATTTACTACTAAACATTTCTTTGGTTGACCTTTTTTCGAAATTTTCGAAAGCAACCGAGATATACTGCTCTGAACATGATGCAATTTTAGGTGGGCTCAAATTACAGACTTCCAGGTACTCAAAAGATACTAGGAGCAGTTACATCAGACATTTTCCGATTGTCAAAAATGAAAAAAAACTCACAAATTCCGAATAGTAGACTCTCGTCTGCTCTGAATCCCAGCTAGGTTCATCTCGTCCATTGAGGCATTTAGTTCTTCCTGTAACTCACAAAAATGAGGGAGATGCACCGGAAAGTACTGAGGAATCATTTGTGCATTCTGACGTGATGGTGTTAGTTAAGATGTTTGCAGACTAAACATAACATCTCACGACAGCTTAGTTTGAAGTTAGCTAGACTGTGCTCACATAACTTCATTTTTGAAAATACGAGAACCCTTCGAAAAGTCAAAGTTTTTGAAAAAGTTCAAATTACCGGGGGCTAGAAGGACAATTTATTGATCTGCTCAAACTGTGAACGAGAAGTTTTAGTAAGATATATCAGTAGAATTATCAAAAAATTGCCGAGAATCCTGTAAATAAACGGTGCAAACATCAAATTTCCTAAAATCTTGTAATTAAGGCCTACTGTATGTTCAAATCAGTGTATCTCATCTGTCTTCAGAGCTATCAAAAAGTAGTCAACTGAAAAAATGTTTATCATTTTATTCTAAACATTTTATCAGTTTAAGACTTTTTGATAGCTCAAAAGACAACAGAGATATCCTGCTCTAAATATAAAGTACTGTGTCCTCCAGTGTTATAGGCTTACTTGTTCAAAGCGCCATATCTCGTTTGTCTTTAGAGCTATCAAAATGTAGTCAACTAAAAAAATGTTTATCATTTCATTCTAAACATTTTATCAGTTAAAAACTTTTTGATAACTCTCAAAACAACTGAGATATCCTGCTCTAAACCTACTTTCCGCCTCTTTTGTAGGATTGACGGTTTTTTTGTTGTATTTGATCTACGACCGATATTGTATACATTTATAAATTATTCATCGTTTGCTTCTATGTTTATGCAAAATGTTATTGTCCGCACAATATTTTTTTGCCTATTTCTGTCCTTTTTTGTCTTTTTTTCGGCTCCCAACTTCCTCAAACCCTCTACGAATTACCTGCTCCTCCTGCCGAACCATACTCAACTTCCTCCTTGTCCTTAACACGGTCAACTCCACATCCTCATCCGATGATTTATCCTCATACTCATGCTTGTACAATGCCTCAGAGGTGAACACCTCTCTTCCGCCACCCCCACTCCCACTGACACTTCCCTTTGAATACTGTGACCTATTGATGCTGCGAAGCATGGCCATCTCCTCATCGTCGACTGGTACCAAATGCATTTCTTCCGAGCCAATCGCCGCCGATCGTATCACTAAAATTGGAATTTGAACAAAAAAAACTGTACGGATGACACATACCCTTTCGTATACAATACCAAAAAAAACGCCCTTTTCTTTCTATACATTCGTATTGTAAAGGGGGCCCAAATGAGTCATATCTTGAAGAAGGGGACGGAATGTTGTACATAAAAGGGCACCCCAGTCGAGCCATTTTCTAATACTTGTATATGTATTCACGAGGTTCGGTCACCACGGTGCCCGACTTTTCAATATTTTGAAACCAGTTATTCTGAGAATGGTTACAAAGTATTTGAAAAGCCGTGCACTGTAAGAATCTCTCTTTGTCGGTAAGTCTATTAATTAGAAATTGTTACAGTAAGAAGTTTCAAAGCGTGGCGGGACCCTAAGCGACGCGCCAAGAAAACGCGCAGTCTCCTCTTTGCCCTCTCCCTATCCATCTGCCTTTGGCACGCGTGGCGTAGTGGTTAGCGCGTTTGTTTTCAAGATTTGCATCGCGGGTTCGATCCCCACGGAGGCCAAATCTTTTTTTTTCTTTTTTTTCTTTTCACTTACACGATCTCCTTCTCCCAATCGATATCTGCTGCTGCTGCTCATCACTGCTCATTTGTTGCTGCTTCAAACGGGACGACGGACCTGACATGGCTTGAGCAATCCGTTGCTCGAGCACTCGGCGGACTTGCTCGGCTGGAAAAAAGTGTATGAGAAAGAGACGCATGACTGGGTAGGGGAAATGAGTAATGCGGGGAGTGGCATGTGCTTTTGAGGAGGAAAAAATCAGGTAACTTTTAGAAAACCAGAAAATTGAATAAAAATCACCTGCTGATCAGTAAGATTGCGTCATGGCGAGAGTTTCTAGTGTGAAAACTAGCCTGGACGAGCCTGGACGAGACTAAACAAGCCTAGACAAGCCTAGATGAGCCCAGATGAGCCTGGACAAGCCTGGACAAGTCTAGACAAGCCTAGACAAGCCTAGACGAGCCAAGACGAGCCAAGAACAGCCTAGACGTGCTTAGACAAGCCTAAGCGAGTCTAGACAAGCTCAGACGAGCATAGGTGAGCCTAGTCGAGCCAAGCCAAGCCAAAAAGAGCCTGACGCCGTTTTTGCCTGCCAGGGTGCCGTTTTTCTTGGCAAAGTGTTAGTTTTCAGGCCTTATGGTCACTAGAAACTTGGCAAACTGCGCTCAAGAACGGCGATTTGCTCGTGAAAAATGCGTTTCCCCATCAAAAACGGATCTGTGTCGCGAAAAACTGCATTCTGCCAATAAAATTACCATCGTGCTACTAGAAAAGGGGTATCTGCCCAGTGGTTGTGGCACTGATGCCTTCATCACCGGCACTCTGTCCAAAATTATCTGAGAAATTTTGGTGGTACCCCATTTTTCAAAAAAAAAAACCCTATTTCCAGCTCCAAAGCCCCTCCCCCCCCCCCCCCCCTTCCTTTGGAAAAAAAAACTCACGATCTGGTGTGGACGGCTTATCCATGTATGGATTCGCTCTCTCCTGACTTCGATTCTTGACAATTGGAGGTAATCTTCCACCACTCAACGGAAGTTTTCTTCCCTCTGAAGTCGGCGGAGCACTGTGCACTCGATATCTGGAGACGACTGCCGGGGAGGCAACTGGCACCTTTGGAAAAGAGGTCTGCCGTCGGTTAAGCATGTTTCAAGCGGGTTGTCAAGGTGAACAAGCAGTGACAAGTTACACCCCTTTTAGGAGTGACAAATTGAATATGGAGAAGTAGTATGAAGAAGTAGAAGTAGAAGAAGACGTGCGAGTTTTCTTTCAATGACAGGTGAATTGAGGCGAGAGGAAGAGAAGAAATGGAGGGATTAGGCACATTGCAACTTGAGAGGATAGAGAAAAATGGATGGGGAGTCCCCCTCTCTCTCTTTTGACATTATTTCGCAATTTTTCATGTGTACGTTTCCATGGTGATGCGTGTGTATTTTTGAGGAAAAGGGAATTCGAGGATGTTGCGTATTTTTATGAGACAAATTGGAGTATTTTGAATATTTCTGGATGGTGAATTTGGTTCCTAGATGTTTTTTTCAGAGAAGTGTTCGAAAATCCCGAATAGGATTTTTTTTTGAAAAATGATTATCCTAAAATCCTGCATAAGGAAAAAAGCAACGTGAAAATACAGAAAACATAATAGCTTTCAGTTCATGATTTTAGTTATAAGAAGAAAACATAATAGCATTGACAATGTATGACAGAACTATCAAATTTTAAGGTTTGGAAAGATGTGATACTAAATAGTTTATATCCGTTTTTCACGAATTTTTTCAAGAACAGTCGGAAAAAAAATATTTGAAATTTCGAAATTCCTCCAAAATATTTGAAAACTCGAATTCCCACCAGAAAATTTTTAAAATTTGGTTTCCGGCCAGAATTTTTGAAAATTTGAAGTCCCACCAAATTATTTGAAATTTTGAATTCCCACCGACATTTCAGAAAATTTTGAAATCCAAAATTTTTTTTCAAATGTCGAAAAATTTTCGAAAAATCGAAATCCTGCCGACGTTTTACGGAATTTCACATCCTAGAAAAATGTTCCAGATTTTGAAATTTCTCCGAAACTTCGCAAAAATTTGAAACCCCGCCAAAATTTTTGGAATTTCGAATTCCCGCTAAATTTTCGACAACTCAAATTTCAGTCAGAATATTTGAAAAATTGAAATCCCGCCAAAACTTTCGAAAGTTTCTAAATCCCGCCGAAAATTTCGAAAACATTGAATTCCAACCAACGTTTTACGAAACTTGACTTCCCACCCAATTTTCTTGAAAATTTGAATTCCTGCTAAAAAAAATTGGAGGAATCGAGTTTCCGCCAAAATTTTTAATATTCGAATTCCCGCCATAATTTTAAAAATTCTGAATTCCCACCAAAAACCTTGTAAAGCTGAATTCTCACAAACATTTTTTGTAAATTTGAGTTCTCACTAAAATTTTAGAAAACCTGAATTCCCCCTTCGAAAATTTGAACTCCCGCCAGAAAATTTGGAAATTAAAATTCCCGCCAAATTTGGCGAAATTTGAACTCTCGTCACAATTTTTGGAAATCTAAATTCCCAACAAAACTTTTTAAACATTGCAATTGATGTAAAACTTTTAAAATGTTGCTAATTGAAAATCCACTAGAAAAAATCGAATATTTATTAAAATTACTCGTAAAACTCATACCAATAATTTCTACACATCTACTTTCTAACAAGAATTTCCACAGTGATCACACAAATTCCGGTGGTGGAAATATGCCTCTTTCTGCCATCAACTTCCTCTCCCGATGCCAATAATAATGCCAGAGGACGAAAGTGAATAGCCAGTTCATGGCGAATCCCATGGAGTACACACTGAATATCAGGGCGAGCTCAAAGTCAATAACTCCTCCAAGAGCTTCGAGGATTTTGGGAGCAGTGGCCATAGTCAAGACAGATAGGCCCAAGGTGTAGGAGGATTGCATTAGGAGGCCTGGAAAATATGTATAATGCAATTGCGCTCTAATGAACTTTTAGGATCCTCTGCACCATGTCAGAACTCCCCCAAACTAACCCGGCCACAACAACCACAACGGCTTAGGTATACACATCAGGGCAATCAAAGAAATGGAAAGAGCACTCGACTGCTCTATGGTCCATGCGAATCGCATGTAGCCGCCGTCCAAATAGTTGGCCACACACTCATTAGTGCCCAGTACTCGATGCATTAGGCCAAAGTCGAATATTATTATGTCATGGGCGAGGAAGTGCGTCTGCAAAAAGGGATAGGTTAGGTTTGCAGTTACGAGCTGTAATGCTGAAATTGCTTCCCGTAAATTGGCAAAAAATATTAAAAAGTATATATGATACAGACTACAAACACTACAAACTACAGAGCCAGTTAAATCTGATAGCGGTATAGCTAATGGTCATCTATGGTCTTAGGGGTGAACAGATTAGAAACCTAAAAAACTACAAACTACAAACTACAAAAGCTACAAACTATAGAAAATACAAACTACATTTACTACAAACTACTGAACCGATTGAACTTGCTAGCAATCTAGCTAATGGTCGTATATGCTCTTCAAAATTGACAGGTTTCCGCTAACGATATATTGACTACAGACTACCAAAATACTACAAACTACATAAACTACAACCTTCTTCCTATCAACACTCACCTCTAAACTTGAATTCTGCGGAATATCCGAATGACATTCGAATATTTTTTTGTGTTTGTAGAATGAATAAACGTGCTGAAAAACTTTTTTTTTCTGAAATTTCTAGAATACTCTATTAGACAGGCACCCATCATTTTAGAATCATGAGACAGATGCAGTTCTATTAGAGAATGTTTCAACTCTACCTGTAAAAACGATGCGACTGAAATCGACAACTGCAGCAGTGCCAAGAATATTGCTAGTGTCTTATTATGGACTCGAAGTCCACAGAATCGAGTCTCTTTTTCTTCGATTCGTATGACAGCAAGAAGACGCATCTGGAAGTTCTTTTATTAGAGAAGAAAAATCCTTCTTCCAAGAAAAAATTCGAGAAAAATCACAAAGTTTGAGTGGAAGTAACGAACTGAAAATAAGAAATTTTGAGAGACACTGACGTCTCCTAATTATCACCCAAACAAGTCGTCATTAGACATTTCCCTGTGGAAGATGAGGAGAAGATGTCTGAGACGGTCTCTAAGGAAGTCTGGTGCCAGATCTGAATCATGGGTTTGCGACCGACGAAAACATGATTTCCGATTTTAGATAAAGATGATGATGGTGATCAGTGGGGAAAAGGAAGTGATAGGTGTGATGTTTGGAATAATGACGAGCCTGCACGGGCCTAGACCAGCCTGGACGGGCCTAGATGAGCCTGGACAACCCTAGACGAGCCTAGACAAGCCTAGACAAGCCTAGACGAGCCTAAGAGAGCCCAGAAGAGCCTAGACGAGCCTAGACAAGCCTAGACAAGGCTAGACGAGCCTAGTCAAGCCTAGACAAGCCTAGACGAGCCTAACCAAGTCCAGTCAAGAATAGATGAGCCTAGACAAGCTTAGACGAGTCTAGAAGAGCCTAGGCGAGAATAGACGAGCCTAGATGAACCTAGAGGAGCCTAGACAAGCCTAAACGAGCCTCACCAAGCCTAAACGAGCTTAGACATGCCTAGGCTAGCCTAGAAGAGCTTAGACAAGTCTAGACGAGCCTAGACGAGCTTAGACAAGCCTAGACGAGCCTAGACAAACCTAGACAAGCCTGGATAAGCCTAGACAAGCCTAGAGGAGCTTAGACAAGCCTAGACCAGCCTAAACGAGCCTAGACAAGCCTAAACGAGCCTAGAAAAGCCTGGACGAGCCTAGACAAGCCTAGACAAGCCTAGCTTTGTTCCCAGAACAAAAAGATTTCATCTGAAACTCTGAAATTTCAAAAAAAAATGCGTACCCAATTAAATTACTCTCTGATTATTTGCCATCTGTTTTCTCATTTTTCATTTTCTCCCCCTCTCTCAAAAAAGGTTCCTCGAATGAATGAAAAGAAACG